AATTCCCAACTCCGCTTGAAAAGTCGACAGTGGGGACCATGTCTCGGAACCCGACAAAACTCACAAAATTCAAAAACCTATTCAATTACGAGTCCAACCATATGAATTTTACTCAAATCTGACTCCGAGTCGATATTCAAAACTCAAAAATTCTTTTATGAAATTATAAAAATTTCCTCAGTTTTCTCTTGCAAATTCAATAATCACACACCAAAAATGTAGATTAATCAATGAAACATAATCATAAGTGAGTCAAGAGTGCTTACCCCAAGTCGTGTGGTGAAATTCCTCCCGAAGGTCGCCCAAACTGAGCTCCAAAATCCAAAAATAGGTAAAATTGTTGAACCCTCGAATATAAGGCATTCTGCCCAGCGTTTCCGCATTTGCGAATAGTAGGTCGCATCTGCGACCATCGCTTCTGCGGAACAGGCTCACATTTGCGAGACAACCTTGTCCCAACAATGGTCACTTTTGCAATGCCCAGGACCGAATTTGCGCAGTTCGCATCGCTTCTGCGAAGTCTCCCAACCAGCCTTCTCCATTTGCGCTTCTGCGATGGGTTGCTCGCTTCTGCAGAGTCGCTTCTGCGACCAAGCTTCCGCAGAAGCGGTTGCACCATCAACCCAAAAATTCCAACAGTTCAACATGGCTTCAATCGATTTGAATCCCATCCGAAACTCATCCGAGCCACTCGGGACCTCGTCTGAGTATACCAATAAGTGTCGTAACATAACATAGACTTACTCAAGGTCTCGAATTACATAAGACAATGTCAAAATAACAAATTGCAGCTCGAATCGAACTTATGAATTATAAAATTTCCAAATTCTACATCTTGTGCCAAAACGTGCCAAATCAATCCAGAATGACTTCAAATTTTGCACACGAGTCATAAATGACATAATGTAGCTACTTAAATTTCCGAAACCAAAATATGAACTCGATGTCATAAAAGTCAACTCCCGGTCAAACCTACGAACATTCAAAACATTAAAATTTTTAACTTTCGCCAATTAGCGTCGAAACCTTCTAGAAATATCCAAATGAAATTTCGGGCATACGCCCGTGTCTAAAATAACCATCCGGACCAAATGAAATCATCAAAACTTTGTTCCGATGTCAAATACTAAAAAGTCAATCTTTGTCAACTTTTTCAACTTGACGCTTCCAAGTCCAAAGAAAACAGAACCTCTTCTAGTTCAAGGTCGAAATCCTCAAACCAATCAAAATCTGATTTCCTCTTAACACTTACCTGCCTAAACCAAGCAAGATTCAAGAATAAATCCATTACCAGCAAGATACGATACGACCTTTATGGCTATATCGTCCTGAAGACGGATGCGACGGGAAGAAGTGGCATTTGGAAGTGTTGCTGACTTAACATTTAGGTTTCGGCATAACAAAGCTTGCACTGTCTTTTCGCACTNGAAGAATTGAAAGGCAGGCTGCGAAGGCGCTGACTCAAAGGCTGATAGGATTGATATTCTTCTGAACATATTCCGAAACACATGAAGTTCAAAACCGACGATCCACACAAGTCACAATACATCATATGAAGCTATTCAAGACTCCAAATAGTAGAAAAGAGCGTAAATGCCTAAAACGACCAATTGGCCATTACAATAAGTAAAAAGCCTAACCTTGAGCTGAAAGTAATGACGAGCTCAACATGTACAGTCCAATTATAGAAATAACAGTACAAAAATATAGGCATGCTTTCAAGTTCAACAGTTAAACTCAAAACAAGTAAAAGTAGATCAAATCTGGATGATATGAGGAAGGTAACATCTCTATATCTACATGACAATGTATATGTCGTATGTAACACAACATAATGAAAGCCTCGTGTACTCCCACTCTCAGATTACTCAATCACTCAGTATTGTGTGGGGCAGATCTAGCCCAGGGAAAATCCATCCTAAATATAAATATCCACTACGCTCACTGGGCACATGTAGACTCCGAATACTGGGCACGCATCATAGATCTCATATATTGAGGCAGTGCAACGGTCAGTCCAACAGCATGCAACCCATATAAAACCTGAACATCCTGAAGCGTGATGGTGGCCTCGCCAATGGGCAGATGAAAAGTGTATGTCTCCGGTCGCCACCGCTCTATCAACGCCGTGATCAGAGACCAGTCGAGCTTGCAGCCGCCCAATCTCAAAAATTCTATAGAAGCCCGTATCACGCAGGCGATGGACTACGCGGGGATGGAAAACTCTCTCCCTCAAAAAATCCCACAAGTCGTCCAGTCTCCTGGCGCAGAGAGTCTGATCCACTAGTTGTCCCTCCCATACGCAGGCGGACCTATGGTCACCCTGTAACACTAATATCTGATCCGAGGCTGGTCCAGGATGCACAGGCGGCATGTCCATGTCGTCTACTGTAAATTAACAATATTAATTGTGGGTTTGTGTTATAATAATTAATATTTAATTATTTAACTGGACACATTATATATCTATGGTTCCAGGCTCGATATTTGAGGCCCAGTAACACCAAACTATCCTGAATTCTTATGTGTGTCAATTTCAATATTTTTACAATTTGTTAGTGTTATAATAATTAATAATTAATTTTTAACTGGACAGGATATATATATATATATATATATATATATATATATGGGTTTCAGGCTCGATATTTGAGGTCCACTAGCACCAAGCTATCCTGAATTCTTATGTGTGTCAATTTCAATATTTTTATAATTTTGTTTGTGTTATAATAATTAATATTAAATTATTTAACTGGACACATTATATATCTATGGGTTCCATACTCGATATTTGAGGCCCAGTAGCACCAAGCTATCCTGAATTCTTATGTGTGTCAATTTTAATATTTTTACAATTTTGTTTGTGTTATAATAATTAATATTTATTATTTAACTGGACATAGTATATATCTATGGGTTCCAGGCTTGATATTTGAGGCCCAGTAGCACTAAGCTATCCTGATTTCTTATGTGTGTCAATTTTAATATTTTTAAAATTTTGTTAGTTTTATAAATTAAATATTTAATTATTTAATTGGACAGAGTAAATATCTATGGGTTTCAGACTCAATATTTGAGGCCCAGTAGCACCAAGCTATCCTGAATTCTTATGTTTGTCAATTTCAATATTTTTAAAATTTTGTTAGTTTTATAAATTAAATAATTAATTTTTAATTGGACAGGGTATATATCTATGAGTTCCACGCTCGATATTTAATTTGACAACATTTATTAATTTTTTAGTTTTGTGTTTTATTTTTAAATAATTAATTTTTATAAAATGTAATTGGATAGAGTTTGTAGTTAGTAGATACATAAACTACAGAGACTCTACACTAAAAGGCTCTATATTTTACTACGCTAAAAGGCTCTATATTTTACTACGATATAAGGCTCTATATTTTTACTACGCTAAAAGACTCTATATTTTACTACGCTACAAGGCTTTATATTTTACTACGCTAAAAGGCCACTATTCTTTAAGAAAATAAATATTCTAAACTAAATAAAAACAACAAACAAACATAACCTTCAACAAATTACATATAAAACAGTAAAAGAAATTTATGAACATTTTTATTAACAATAAAAATTATTTCTCAACTTTTAACTATTTATTTTAAACACTAATAATTTAATCCGAGTAAAAATAACATACAAATTTAATCGCAAACAAAATACAAATCAACGTGGAAACTCATTCAAGAAAACAAATATGCATAATTATACGAGTTTCGACATAAACTAAATCGGAATACCTCGATTTATGTTTTTAGAAATGTCGAAGATTTAAAATTTTGAGCCCAAAACAAGGAAATTAAACCACAACAATCGAAGGCTTGAGTTGTATGCGGGACCTACACTCTTCACTTTTTGTGTGACGGGTAGGGCCCAATCAATTTTTTTTTAAATCGAGGGGGGACCGCTGGAAAGGGGTGGTTTTTTTTTAATTGAAACCATCTGGTTTCTGTCGTGGGGAAGAAGGAGACTTTATAATTTAATAGGAAAACGCAGTATAATACTACATTTTTCTAAAACGGAGTATAATACTACGTGTTCCTTTAACGGCTAAATTTGCGTTAAACTAAAACGCAATATTATACCGTATTTTAGTTAGAAATGTAACTTTTTTTAACTATATAAATGTATTTTGAGTCTCAAAACTCATTATTTAGGTTTCGGACTCACTTCTGCACCTTGCATGCAGATGTTGGATATTCACTACGCGGTGTTCGACAAGAGCTAGATTTGAAGACGTACCTGCGATCCCACTGTAGCTGTCTCTTGTTCACGGTAGCCTTAGACTTGTAAAAATCTATTTATGTACATTTCGAATAAATGATGTATTTGTTTCATACCAACTTTGTAAATTCTAATCTTAGAAGGTCCTTATTTGTATTACCAATCCTTGGGAAATGTATAAGATTCAAATAATTTCTTTTACTTAATTGTCTTATTAAATATCATTGGAATTGGATAGTTGTTAGTTGGTTTACCTAGCGGGTTGTGTTAGGTGTCATCACGACTAGTTGAATTTTGGGCCTTGACAATAAAATAGAATAATTTTCAATAATAAAAAGGAGCAAAATGAGAGAAAAATAAGGAAACGACGCGACCACACCAAATCGGTCGTTCCATAAAGTGACACTTTTCGTCGTTACGTAACGACGGATTTAACGATATGCTACAATAAAATTTAAGTACCAATCAAAACAAACATTATATTTAAAGTAACAATATGATACAATAGAACAACAGGTAATAACCATCCAAACAACCTATTAGTATTCTTCTCGTCAACAGTTTTTTGAATCTATATGTATAATAAAGTTGGGCATGGAGAATGTGATGTGTCTAGCAATTTTATTTATATTTTATCTTCTTTTTTTAGAATTTTTACCTTCTCCCTTCACATTCAATAAATAAATTAAAAAAATTGTATTAAATAAACAATTGTTGCTCGAAACATTTCTTGGGTATTTATTGGAGAGTCCAAACGTTCCATGGAAGCCCAAAGGTAAAACAGTGGCCCCTTTTCTCAAATGTCTCACATAACAGTACCCTCCCCCAAATATAAGATGAGGCAAATTTGGAGTCAATGGTGGCAGACTTTCAATTTGGATTCCGAGTCGAAAATCAGCGATCAACAACGTTATTGATTGGCAATTAAAGGCTTCAACGACAAGACACTTCTGCTCCCGGGAAAATTTACGGACAGTTCATGACTTTGCAGGTCCTTTTTCTATTAAAATTATCCTAACTTTTTTCTACTCAATTTTATGCTATTTATTTATGTAACAATTTGAGAGGATATTACAAATGCTCTAAATATTAAAATTCGAACTTGTGAAATATATACGGATACATTATAGTCGATTGAAGTGTGGGTCAATCTTTTGAAGTTAAGTTGGAAATAATATCATATTATTCCAAAAGAGATGTCATTTTATAGTTGGAATGATTTGCTGTTGTAATTGAATTTTTCATAGTTTTTTCCCCTTTAATTTATGCTTTCTGGTTATCTCCTTAATTGTGGGGCATTTTCAGTTTAACATAGGTGGTCTCATATTTACTTGGATTAGGTTACAGTTTATGTAGGATGTTAAAAATCATTAAAAGACGGTAGAATCATGAAAAGATGTTTAATTAGTAAAGATTAATTTCTTTATTAACTTATAACATTAATTTTTAACTATATTTATTAGATGGGAATAGAGATGCTCCGACCTTAAAAGAGACTCTGAAATGGTCAAGGTGGAACAAAAACATTAACATTAAAAGATAATTTCTGTTAAACTCCATGATACTATCATGAAGTATCATAATAGTATCTTTTACTTAAGTGTCAATTTTCCTTTCGATGTTAGAATTGTATTTTTTGAGGAACATTCAAATATAATATTGAAATATTGGACTTTTTTGCCTTATTAGGAATTCATTCCTCCTTTTACCTAAGTGATTGTCTTGGGCATCTCATGTTGTATTTTTTTTTAATAGAAATGTGGAACTAAACAAGTGATGGTGACACGCAAGTGGAGATTATGTTGTTCAAGATGAGTGGGTTAAAAAGGTATGGACGAAAAATTGGATCTATTACAGGTACATGTTTAATAGATATAACTCTGTTACTTGCTTCAGCCAAACAAGCAGCATCGTGGTAGAACTTTATATTTGAGGTGTACTTTTGAGCTTTACTCTACGTGCCATAATATTGAGTTATTTCACCATGAAATGTTATGTTACTTGATAACTGTCTAAAGCTAACTATTATAACTTATACAAATAAACTAACACGCTGAAGGAGGATATAATATCTAGAAAGAATACAAATAAGGATAAAACAATTGTACTTTATTTTGTCTATTTTGAAGGTACCAGTAACTTAATTGATAATAATAAACCTTGCACAATGCTTACTCAAGCATTAGCACAAGTTAGATATCACAACAATTAGTCGTGCTTTGAAACTTTTCTTGAAGGAAACCTTTGTTTAATGCAACATTTGAACATTCGTGTAGCTAAGGTGAGCATTAACAAGGTTTTTTTCATCTTAGGAATAAATTTATAGTATGCAGAAGGTACATTTTGTTTGAAATTGGTTGAAAAGATAATTTTTGCTCAGTAAGTATATTTTTATACTCTAACAAAGATAATTACATATACCAGTTGGGAATTTCAGAAATCATAGCATAAGTTTTGTCAATCAAATGGTTGGAGGCCTCATCCTTTTGTGGCATTTCTTTGAGGAGTATATTCAGGTGTCCGCTTATGCAAAAAATAGTTTTGTGCATTAAAATATAAATTAACATGTTTATATATTATTTCATGCACTGTTAATTTTTTTATTCTATAATATAAAGTAATCATATTCTGCTCGCTCTTTTTAAATATGAAAAGGAAAGGATTGGAGCGTTTGAAAAAAGCTTTTATGGTGTTCCAGTTTTTCAGGTACCCTCTCTCAACCTGGTATATCCAATTATCTGTGGCACCTCTCTTAGACCAAAAAAAACTATTTATCTTTAACTTCCTTTCTTTGCCTTTATCTCCCAATTATTTAGTTGTTTGATCTTCCAAGTTATTGTTTATTTATTGTGCAATTAGAGAGAGTAATGAAAAGTTATAACTGTGTTAATTTTTTAACGGGGTCCTAAAGAGATGTACATAATAACTCATTACAATTAATTGCTTAGAACTTCTGGCTTCTCATTCTATAGTGCAGAGTATCGTCAAAAGTATAATAAAGAACACCACCAGCACTCTTAACCTCGATAGCCTATGCATCCCTTAACCGATTCTAGGTAATTTTTACTTGATTATTAGACTGTTTTTGCTATTTCTTTTACCCTTCAAAGCTTAAATTTGTTTCACCTTGGCAATATTTCTTTTGAGAGCAATACTTGGACATATCGTGGAAGGAGATGCGCTTTCTTTAAAAAAAAATTTCAATGTTTTGTGTTAACTAACTAATTATATTCTTTATTTTGTGACAAATTATTGGAACTTATATGTATGTATGATCTGAGGATTTTAAGGATGTTGCAGGAACTATTTTAGAGGGAAAAGCAATCGAAAATCTATAAGCATCCATTATATTCTCGCTTTCTTCTCATAAAGTTGGGTTCACAGTCTCTTGTTCGTGTATATGTATGAGATCTTTTTTTTGATTCAAGTTACATATATGTATGCCATTTGGGTACACAAAGGTATTATGCAGTTAAATTTTTATTTTCAATCTACAATTTAAATGGATTTGGTATATAGGATTGTGTCAATTGGTTCCTCCAGGTGTGTCAAGTGGGAGAAATACCTTTGTTTGTAACTGAAAATGTGTTGTACATTTTATTATTTCTCCTACATAATATTGGAAATATATCATCAGACATTCTATGTCGTTTTTACGTGATGTGGTGATCGACAGTTTTACTTTTGTTCATTCCATGCAATATTACTATCATTTGTGGTTTTAGATTTATGTAGAATGAATAGGCCTGATTAAAAAACGAAATGGGTCTAAATAGAGCGGAGTGGGAATTAATGAATTCTCTTCCTCCTCTTTCATCTTCTTCTCTTTTGTCTTTCATTTTTGGGAAATGATTTGTTTATTTGTGTTTTTGTCTTGATTGTTTGGTATCGGACATACATTTTATATTCTTATAGTAATATAAAATCACAAAAATACATAGAGATACAAAAGAAAATTAACCGTTGAGGTGAACTTTGATTAACTATCGCAAAGTGACATTTTCTCAATATTCATCGAGTGTTTTAAAGGTTACATTTCTTTCTTTTTCCTTAATGTGTTATTTTGGAAATTCAAAATACTCCAAGTACGATTTAGAGAAGGAATGATAATGCAAAGATATTACAGAAATAGAAAACTAAACCTTGTGTTGAACTTTTAACAATATTTAGAAGAACTATTTGTTTTGTTGAATTTTAAGTTTCAGTATATATAGATCTTTTCTTTTTGTTTAGTAGTGATGGTATTAATTTGTGGCGTGATGTTTTGGATATCATCAATACATGGCAAATAATACAACAAGGTACCAATGTCAATAATTTATATTCATTCAAGCATATTACATTAACTATTTATCCAATTTTATTTTCATCGATAAAAGAAGATTTAATCCCTTAATTTAAACCTTCAAATTAGCCCAATAAAGTTCTTGCAATGAAGTAAGGTGTATGCTTTCATGTGTATAAAAATAGAGAAAGCGAATCTGGATGAATTTAGAAAGAAGTAACCAATCTTAGAAATGCAATTACATCACAATTGATAATGTTATGGTTGAAGAATAGAGAAAATAAAATTATAAAAAATTTAACAATAAATTTTCATTCATATTTTCGCGCGGGCAAATTGACTAGTGAAGTAATAAATCTTACCATAAAAAGGGCATCAAGAAGATGTAACAAGTAGAAAATAGAGGAATAGAGCCAAAATCTAAAAATATTAGGGTAAAGCAAAAGAGCTGGCGAAATCCAATAAGTTAGGGCAATCTACTAGGTCTAAATAATACCACCATAAGATGATTTAGTCAACATATTTGAAATAATCTTATACACAGTCGTGCAGCATGATATGGGCCTGAAATACAGACTATATGCACACTAGAGAAGACATTAATCTCATGAATACATCCCTTAAGTACAGTTTCGTTCATACAATTTAAATTGCACACAAACTGAAAAGAAATTAATAAATGAACGTAACAAGATAAAAACTTCAACATGTATAATAGAATAGTGAAATCATTCACTTTACATAACGGCAATAAAAATTTAAAAAAAATACAAAATTCGAAAAAACAAATTTATCGTCAAGAATAAAAAACGTATCGATAACTTTCTTTTAACTTGAAACGAAATAAATAAATGAAGGTAGCAAGATATAAACTTCAACATGAATCATAGAATAGTGAATCATTCATTTCAGAGAACTGAAATAAAATTAAAAAAAATAAAGAAGACCAATTTTCTTTCAAGAATCCAAGAATCAAGCCTGAAATTATTCCCAAAGAAGATGCAAAGTTCAAATGCAAATTGCTCGCTGGGAAAATGCATTAGTTGATGTGATTTTTTTAAAATCTTTTTTTCTTTAGCAGTTGTCGCACCCCTTTTCTAACCCCGCAAAAAGATATAATATGTGTTATGGTGGATTTGTGGGTTAAAATTTTTTTCCAATTAAAGTGACAAATTTGAGTAGGGATTATTTTATTTACAGAGTCGCCACTTGGAATTGATTTTTAGGTGTTCCAAGTCACCTTTTATTTGAATCTCTAGTCAAAGAAAGGTTTGACTCTATTTTTATGGGTCCGCAAAAATAAAGTTCGGGTAAGGAATTCTGTTGACCGGAGAGAAGGTGCAAGGCATTCCCCAAGTCTCGTGGTTCCAGCACGGTCGCTTTATTGACTTAAAGCTTGGGTTAAATTAATTTTGACCAAACTGTAATTTTATTTGATTTTCATGTTTTACCTATCCGCTTTTATTCCTTGATTATTAAAGAATATAATAAAATGTCATAATTACACTACGCAAACGAATGCGTGATCTAGACGAAATTTATTGACTTAGTCATAACAGCGCTACGCAAGCGAATCCGTAGTCATGACAAAGAATTGTTAACACGTTATTACTTTTAGATAATTTACTACATTTGAGAAAGAAGAAAGAAAAAGAAAAATTAATGTTTGGAGCTTATTAAATGTGAACTACCGCACTACGCAAGCGAATCCACGATTGTAAGCAAGGAATTAATTAAATTAGAAATTAATTAAAGTTATTGAGTATGGTATGAGATTATTGAATTAATTTAATGAATATTAAACATCACGCTATGCAAGCAAGTCCATGAATAAAAAAGATAAAACGCATCTGCTAGTTGCCTCACGTTTAAATTAATTTATTTGTGAAACTAATTTTATCAGCGAAGCCTCGTATTTGAAAAGATTGAGTCAATACTTAGTTGAAAGAAAAATGGGCCGACAGCTTATCCATCTTTATTGTGAAAGAATATAATCTTTTGTAAACTACAATAACAACAACCACCACCCAATATAATCCTACAAGTGATACTCTTTTGTAAACTAAAAATAGTAAAATAACATATGGATATTCCATTGACATTGGACCTTATTATTATTATTATTATTATTGTCAATAATTAAGACTATGAAATTAATAAAAATAAAGTACCTTAAGACAATTAAGTACCTACAATTTACCTATCTCTTTTGATTATTAAAAGAATTTAAGTTCTTAAGTCATTACTAAAAAAAATCCGACTTTTAGTTAGTTATGAAAAAAAACACTTCTAAATATACATGTACTTTTTAACTATGAAACGTTACTTACTAAACAACAGATGAAGTTAAAATCATTTATCATAGAAAATTAAACTAGATCTAAATAAATTGGCAACAGAAACATAGAGATTACTTAGAACAAAGAATACAGTAGCAAAGAAATTACTTAATAGGCTACTCATCATGCTTTCAATCACCTAGAATAATCAAGCTAAAACAAAAATAATGGAAGAAAGAATAATAAGGGAAAGGATGGACAATTGCTGAATATTTTTCACCATGTACAAAGTAAGCAAAAGCTTCAAAACTCCTTACATGACTTTGAATTAAGAAAAAAAAAATTCTTTAGCTTCTTTGTCTTACTACAAATTACTATAAATTAAGACCAATGCCAAATGGTAGGTGCGTTTATTTAGATCTGAAATTTAGCCAAAATTAAGTCTAATCTTCATCAAAACCCATTAAAATTGAGATATAAACTCCAAACCATATTCCCAATTATTTACAACAACACTCAATCCAAACAAATAATGATTTTTGAAAATCCAAATTTGAATTCAAAGCTTCAAAGCTTTTTAATGGCTGCCAATGGTGGAATTGCTGCTCTCTTTTCCTTTCCTCTTATATTACTGAAAGAACCCGAAATCATAACCATCAAAAGTTATTGTTGTGTATGAAACTTTGAAGATTTGACTTCAATTTTGACTGGTTGTAGAAGAAAAAACCTTGATTTTGGACGTTAATGGTAGATGTTTTCAATTGTTTTTCTGGATTTAGTAGAGGGTTTCAATTATTTTTCTGGTTTCTGGGTGTGTGGTGATACGTGGGTGAGGGTGTGGGGTNTTAATTAGGTATACTAAATGTAATTAGATCAAACCTTAAACATTGAGGGTAATATAGTTTCCTATATGGCATAGGAATGTAAAAATTCTTTTATTAAACTAAATTTACACAAATAAATTAATTAAATAACTTATTCAAATGATCAATTAACTAGATTAATTCACCAATTGAATAGTTAGTTAATTCCTAAAATGCACAAATAAAAAAGAACTGTTTTTTGATATTTTTATGATAGGAAATATGCAAATAAAGACATAAAAATTAAGAAAATAATTAAAATAACAAAACACTAATGACTTTAGGAGGTGTTAAAATAGTGCAAAAATTAGGTGTTCACAACAGTCTTATTTACTACTCCTTCTACTCGGATGATTTACAATTGTAAAGGTTACACCTAAACCTTCATTTTTATTTCACTTCAACCGCGAAGATTTATATGAAAAAAATTAATTTCGTTGAATTAATAAAAGAAGAATGTCAATTATTATATACTAGTACATGATTAAGTTACAAAATTATTTTTTACACTAAATATCAAAGAAGAAAGATTCTTCAGAAAATTAATGCCAAATAAATTGAGATAGGGGCTAGACAGAGTAATGTATTTCATATTAATGAGCATAACTTTTAAAATTTGCTATGTTAAGTATTATATTAAAATGTGTTTGAGTTATAAAATAAGTTTCTCAAAAATAATGAATGTTAAGCCAGACAGAAGTCCTCGGACCTACCAATGAATTTGATACATCATATGTTAAATCATGATTTATTATTACACTAGTATTCGCGCGGATGCGCGGACGCTAATTATGTCAAATATTTAAGTTATTTGGATTGTATGTAAATAATCTTAAAATTTACACTTTCTCAGTAAATATAGATAATCATTGGATATTAACTACATGAAAAATATTAACCATTTCTTCTAATTTTTTTTTTGATATCATTCTTGCCGGTATCATTGGATCCTAAAATTAGTGAGGAAGCAAAATAATAACTCATATTTATGGCAAAACAATCAAATGTTGAGACAATGAATGACTCTTTGGATAAGACTTAACTCTTTTACTACTACTTAACCTCTTATTTTGTGTGTTGATATCTC